AACATCACCAATATTACTATATGCAAAAGCCTGATCCGGATGATTTTCAGGTAAAGCTTTTTGACGTATTGAGAGACACTTTTCGAAATTCTCAAGTGCTCTTGGATAATCTTTCATACTGCGATAAATCTTTCCAAACCAGCTGTATGGATAAGCCAAATGAGGATGATTCGGAGGTAGAGATGTTTGTATTATTTCAAGGGATTTCTTGTGAAATTCAAGTGCTTTTGGATAATCACCCATGTCGTTATACACTGAACCGGTAGTGTTGTAGGATTGAGCCATATCGGGATGATTCGGAGGCAGAGCTTTTTCTCTTATTTTAAGTGCTTTTTCGTAAAATTCAAGTGCTTTCGAGTAATCACCCATGGTGTTGTAGACTCCACCGATAAAGGAGTAAGAAGAAGCCAAATCGGGATGATTCGGAGGCAGAGCTTTTTCTCTTATTTTATGTGCTTTTTCGTAAAATTCCAGCGCTTTCGAGTAGTCACCCATGGCGTTATATACTGCACCGATGTTGTTGTAGGAAGTAGCCAAATTAGGGTCATTCGGAGATAAGACCTTTTCTTCTATTTTAATTGTTTTTTCGTAAAATTCAAGTGCTTTCGGGTATTCACCCAAGTAGTTATATGCTGCACCGATGTTGTTGTAGGTATTAGCCAATGAAGGATGATCTTCTGGGAGAGTTTTTCGGTCGATTTCAAGTGCTTTCTCATAAAACGTAATCTGTTTTTCATATTGACCCTGTCGTCCTTTCACTCTACCTAACTCGTGATAGATATATGCTTTATCGCTGTCATCCGATGCCTGTTCTAGTAATGTGGTATATAATTCTTCGGCCTTGTCAAATTGACCTATTTGGAGCAGCAATTTACCCAATCGATACCACCCGGTGCCATCGATCTCTTCTGCTATACGATCGGTTAATTGACGGAGTTGTTGGTCATCATCTGCTGTAAGGTTGAGATCCACTTCATAAAGTGGACTTTTCTTCTCAATTTTTCGAACTTCACCAATTCGAAAAACTGTGTGCATGGAGAAGAGAATTTCATCTTCTTGTGCGAACTCACTCAGCTCTCGAATCGAAGCAAATGGAGTTGATGACTCTGTGGGATCGATAGTCATTTGGAAAAGAACACCAACCATAGCGGTTGTTTCTAAGGCGTCCTTGGCGAATTCGAGAGAGATTTTTCGATTTTTACTGGTAGATAAAAAGTTATTAAACGAAATAAGTCCACCTTTGTTTTTAGCGATTTTTTCGAAATCTGCCGTCAATAATCCCTGCCCCCGATAAAGTAAAAGTGTCTTACCATGATATTTATTGATTTGTTTGCTATGTAAATCTTCAATTTGTCGATGGACATCACATAAATAAAATCCCATTCGGATAATAATATCACCATCGAGCGTTCGTAATGCTCGATTAAGCATGTTGTATGTAAAACATTGGCGTGTATACCACCAAATGGCCTTTGATGGACGATAAGTACGCTGAAATTCATCGATAACATTGAGTTCTGTTTTATTACCTTTATATTTTTCTTGGCAGAAGGTGACCAAATCTTTAATGGCTTGTTGACCATGATCCATATCAAGGAGAATTTCCTTGAATATTTGTGTATACATGAAGGATGGTTCTAGCTGATTGAGATCTTCGCTAGAACCTCCTTCATTGACGCCAATAATACTAACAGTTACCTGATCTTGATTACATTGCTTGACGGCTACTGCCAGTTTTTCACAGATACTTTTGATTGTGGTGTGAACGCCTTTAATTTTGGGCCAATTTTTGGCCCA